TCTCCCACCCGCCCTTGCTGAAGACAACTCCCCCAAATCAAGGGCAGTCAGGGCTGCAAGGAGGCCTGAGCTCCCAGACTCAGTTTCCCCTCTCTCCTTTGGGGCCCTGACCAGTTTCCAGTGTTAGCTCTCAGCGCGACCCGATAAGTCTGGCGTTTTCTTTTTGTGGGTCTGTGTGTTCTGATTTTTTCCATGGCAGTCGTGCTCAACACGATTTCCACGGGCAAGTCAGTGACAGTGAGTTGGAGGGGGGCTGGGAAAACAGGTTTGGCCGGTTCGGTGGCTCAGCCTGTAATCTCAGCACGTTGGGAGGCCGAGGCGAGTGGATTGCCTGAGCCCGCCGGTTCGAGACCAGCCCGAGCAAATAGGCAAGACCGCGTCTCTACAACAACAACAACAAAAACATTAGCCAAGCGTGGTGGTGCGCGCCTGTAGTTCCGGCTACTTGGAAGGCTGAGGCAGAAGGATCGCGGGAGGGAGCCCAGCAGGTCGACGCTGGGGTGGCCGTGAGCGTGCCACTACACTCCAGCCTAGGCAACGGAGTGAGACTCCAACTCAAAAAACAAAACAAACGACAAAAAAAACCCAAAGTGAGTTCCCTCCTGCAGGGAGGGGCGGCGAGGCCCGACTTGGCCCTTTCACCGCGTGTTCCTCGGCACAGACTGCACCGTCCATCAGTGCTTCTGGGACTGGGGTTGGAGAAGGGAGAAGCCAAGACCTGGGCAAGGCCAGGTCACAGAGCACAGGTGGCGCGGAGGCCTGGCTCACTGAGCAGAACAGGTCTGAGCAGAGGCACACAGGAGGCGGCAGAATTCTCGTGAGAGATCTCGGTAGAGCTCCCGCCTGCTTCTCCTCCGCGCCTGCCCCGCGACAGCGACATCTTTGCAACAACGTTGCGAAGGCGCCGGGCGTCCTTGCGCAGAGTCTCGGGGTCCTGGCGTGGAGGGAGCGCGTGGAGAGGTCATTCTTTATTTCAGGCGCAAGCTTCGCAAAGGGGCACGGGTCGTGGGCATTGCAGCCACTGCGTGCAGACTGGGGACAGCCACGGAGCCCCTGCACCATCTCCCAGCAGCGCGTCTCAGAGCGGCGGGCGCAGCCGCACAGGTTGGGCGGGGCGGGGCGGAGCAGTAGGGGCGGGGCAGTGCGGGGCGGGAGGGCCCGGCGAGGAGAGCCGTGGGGGGCGGAGCTGTATGGGAGGGGGCGGAGCCATGC